GAGTTCTCGTGGCTGTCCCATGACCCAGGTTACAGGCTGCTGAACAGAAAGTCAGACACTGGCATTATGGAATTCAAATTACGATACCAAATTTTTGTAATGCAACAGGAGGCCCTAAATCCATGATAAAGCAAAGCAAAATGAAATTTTAATACAACCTATTACAGCTCTATTTGCCTCCCGGCAACACACACCACACACACACACACACACACAACTCCAAGGAGGTAAACAGTCCCTGGGATGGCTAAGAAAAGAAATAATAAGAGACTAACTTGTGTTCCCCTAAAATTCATTTGTTGAAGCCCTAACCGCCAGGAGCTCAGAATGGAACTAGACTTGGAGACAGGGCTTTTCAAAGACAATGAAGGTTAAATGAGGTCATAACCATGTGGCCCGACACCAGTACGTATGACTGGTGTTCTTATAAGAAGAAACAGTGGGATGCTCTTGCACAGAGAAAAATCCCTCTGAGGACACAGCAAGAAGGCTGCCATCGCTAAGCAAGAGACAGGCCTCACAAGAACATAAACCTGTTCACACCTTGATCTTAGACTTCTGATCTCCAGAACGGTGAGAAAATAAATGTCCATGGTTTCAGCCCCCCAATCCGTGGCATTTTGTTATGGCAGCCTTAGCAAACTAATACACAGATAACGCAGCTGGAAGAACACCCCATCAGGTCTCCAAGCACAGCGGTGGGTTAGGTGCAACAGCCTTTTTGTTTCCGCACAGACAAGGCCACAGCGGAAAGGCTTTTTCTGTCAGATTTTCCTCTGTCCACACAGACCCCCGTCTCTGGCCTGGGAAAAGCCAGAGACACCACCCACCCCAGGCACACATTCAAATCCCAACTCCACCACCAGGTCAAGTATCACCTCAAAGATACTCAGACAACCGCCAGACTGCTCAGGCCACACCACACTCCCCTTTCTGCGAGTCTGCAGCTGACATTCAACAAGTGTTCCTTGTACTGATAATCACCGTTTTTAAATTAGCGAACATATACTGGTTTTCACAGCAATATAGGTATCTCCCCACCCACACCCACACCCACACCCCACCCCAAGCGTTAAGTCTTTCACTCGTGTTTTTCCCCAAAAGACCAGCCCAGAGGTCACATACAACAGGTATTAGTCAACAGATATTTACTGCGCCCCTTGCCACGTGCCAGGCACCGTGAACAAGACAGGCTCAGCACCCACCGTGCTGATGCTGACGTTCTAGCCAAGGAGACTGACATCCACAGATGACACACGGCATTAACACCGGGATACACGTTATGAGGAACTAAGACACCGCTTCTGCTGGCTCCCGGGCATCCGGCGGAGGACCTGCCACGCACGCCTCTCCCCCAGCCAGGACATAAACGGGACCCTGCCTCTCCGGGCGCCAGTCAAACCAGTACCGCGCACACCCCGCGCCCCCGACACGGGCAGGCGCCGGCCACAGCAGAACGGCAGCGATGGTGCAGGGTCTCTGCCTTTGTGCGCCGCCACACTCCACAGGCCGCGCTGGGAAGGAGGCTCCCGCCAGGCTGGGGCGGGGCTGGGGAACGGCCCTGTCCTCCGGGCCAGGCAGGGTGCGGGGCCCCGGTGACCCACAGGGTCCGAGACGGGCGATCCTCTCTCTTCGGGGCCATCCACACCGTCTGTCCCGGAGCTCAGGTAGAACCAGACGCTCTGCCCCGGGGCCAGGTCCTTCCCACTGAGCCGCAGCCCCTCCGGCCCGACCCCCCCACCGGCCAGCAGGCCCCCTCAGCCACGCCGCGAAGACCCTTCCCTCCGCCCTCTCCTCCTCCGCCCCCGGCCCAGGATCCTCCAACCGAGGCAGCGCCGGGCTCGAATCTCCACCGCCCAGCCCCGGACCGCCCACGCGGAGGCTGGGAGCTCCCCACCTCCACGCGCCCCTCAGTCCCAGCCGCCCCGGCGCGGGGGCGGAGTCACGCACCCAGGCGAAGAGGGCGGCGGGCGCAGAGGTAGCATCTGAGGAGGGGGGCTCGAGCTCCATGCGGGGCCGCTCCACCGACGCTTCCGGGCGGGGCCGGCGCGGGGGGCGGGGCGGGGCCGGAGCTGGGGGCGGGGCCGGAGCGGGGCAGAGGGGCGGGGCCTGTGAGGGGGCGGGGCGGGGCCTGTGCGGGGGCGGGGGCGGGGCCGGAGCTGGGGGCGGGGGCGGGGGCGGGGCCGGCGGGCTGCACCTTGCCGCGGGGAATCAGGAGCGGGCGAGAGCCTAACAACAGCCTCCCAAGCTGCCTCCCAGTGGCCGGGCCGCGCGCTCTGAGAGTCTCCGCCCTCGGCCTCCAGTTTTAAAGGGTCTCTCTTTGCCTTTACATATATATATATAACATATATATAAAATATATTTTCTTTTTTATTGATTTCAGAGAGGAGGGGAGAGAAACGCCAATGATGGGAATCATTGATCGGCTGCCTCCTGCACGCCCCCTACTGGGGATGGAGACCACAGCCCGGGCATGTGCCCTTGACCGGAATGGAACCTGGGACCCTTCAGTCCACAGGCGGACCCCGACGCTCTACCCACTGAGCAAAACCAGCCAAGCCTTTGCCTTTATTTTTAGTAATAATTCTGTAGATTGCACCACACTCCTTCACATTTTATCCCTTTGGAGTCCCACGACAGCCCAGAGGGACAAACATGGTATACATTTGATGGGGAAGGAAGTGAGCCTGGGAAGCGGTGGGAAGAGTCCTGCCTCAGGGTCTTAAGCGGAACTCGTTGGGCCTGCTCTGGGGCGCATTTGCAAAATATAAGGTAGGGTAGATGAGGGTAGTGTCTTATATCGCTGGGCTGGTGTCGACCTCAGTGCCTGGTAGGTATCGGGAACTTACAATGAGGAGCCTGGTTTGGGGACTCCTGCTGGGGCAGCCTTCTGACTCTCAGTGCTCTGAGTATGGTCCTGCCCTGATTCTGATCATCAATACGGGGTAATTTTCGTCCAACAAAGATTTTCACATAAAATGGCTTTTATCAGACATCCTCATACACTTTTGGTGGAAGCTAAATAAGCACAAATTTCCTGAAGGAAATCTGGCAATGCATATTAGGAATATGAAGATAGATATTTACCCAGTAATTCCACATCTGATAATTTATCACAAGAAAATAATCAGAGCTGTGCACAAAGACTTAAACTGCAAGTTATGCCCTAGCCAGTTTGGCTCAGTGGATAGAGAGAGCGTTGGCCTGTGTACTGAAGGGTCCTGGTTCAATTCTGGTCAGGGGCACAGGCCTGGGTTGCGGGCTTGATCCCCAGTAGGGGGTGTACAGGAGGCAACCGATTAATATTTTAAACTGCAAGTTATTCTTGCAGTTTAAAATATTTTTTTTCTTAAATTTACTGGGGTAACTTTGGATAATAACATATATTTTAGGTGTACAACTTTATAATATAACATCTGTATACTCTATTGTGTGCTCACCCTTTAAGTATTTTTTAAAAATATTTTATAGAGAGGCAAAGCAGCTCTTTGTTCTCGCGGGAACTTGATGTGCAAAAACTATACCATGTTTGCTGATTGTTTTATATGATTGGCCTTTTTTGTTCTGACAATTCCTTTCAAGCATGTGTAATAGGATGTAAAAATAGGACCCCTTTCTTGTCTCCATTTTGGATGAACCCTCAAGTCAATAATTGCTAATTACTCCCACATTATAAAGTGAGGTACAAGACCACCAATGCATAACTTGTGAAGGAGGTGTCTAGAAACCAGTGCATGACCTCCAGTCTATGAAAGAGTTGGAGAGGATGAGAAGGAATTCTGGTAGAATATGTGGCAATAGTTGTCAATGTGCTCTGAGCCCACACTCATCTCACGTCTAGAGAAAGGCAGGCCTCAGCAGGGCTACTTAGAGAGCTTGGTCTGTATCCCTCCGGACTGGCACCCAAAACAGGCTACTGTGCAATTTGTGCTGAGAAATTCAAGGTGGATGTTCAGACAACTGATCTGATAGTTGAGCAAAGAGACATTGATGCTTTGGAGAGGTCTTTCATGTCCAATTTTTCATGACAAAGAATGTCTCAGTATCTGCCATGTGAGTGTTTTCCATGCATGAACAATAGTCTTAGACCCCATCCCAGGGGATTCTGGAGGGCTGGAGTGACACTCCAAGAAAGCTGACCACTAGATTCTTAGAGGCTCAGGGAAAAGAGTTCAGCAGCCCAGACAGAGAGGTACATTTACCCACATCAAGAGATTCCAAGAAATGAGGTGGTAAGGGCTTCCAAAACTCCCACAGAGAATGGGTCAGCACTAAATACTTACCAAGTATACAAAGCACTGATGCCAACTCACAACAGTATCAGACAAAAAAAAAAATTCTACTCCTTACCTCTCCTTTTCACCACCATTCCCAAACCCTGCAGGAGCCAGAGGCATCCTAGAGTGGGGAAGGAGGAGCAAGAAAATAAAGAAGCAAGGCACAGCCCGTTCACCATCGGGTGATGGGAGCCTGACAGCCGGGGGTGGGACCGAGAGGTCAGCCGGTCCTGCCCCCTCGCTGACCCCACCCCCGCCACAGGTCGCCCTCTGTGTGTGGTGCAACCGGCAGAATGGGGGCCTTGGCCTGGCCCCACCCGCAACCTCGGCCACCCACCCCCGGTCCCCACTCGCCACTGGGCGATGGGAGCCTGCTGGACAGTGAAAAGGACCAAGAAGTGGTCAGTGCACCTCATAGTGACTGGTCGAGCGGTCATTCTGGTCGTTCTGCCATTATGGTCACTGGGCTTTATTATATAGGCTATTCATGGACTTTTAAAAAATATATAAGGATGTGATAGATTTCTTAAACTAATACAATTGCTAATATATTTAAATGAGTTAACATGTTTGACCAAAAAATAAATGCTTGCTGAGAACATGAATTTTGTATCCATTTATTATCCAGTTGAATAACAAACTTGCAAATCAGAAATGTATATTACGTAGTAAAACAAAGACTACACTGAAATAGACCTCAGTATCTTTATATATTTCCTAGAAATTAAATATATGCACTCTATTATATGTCTTTAAAAAGTTCCAGGATTTTTTCTTTTTTCCATTTGGAAGCCAAATTAAAAGTTAACTCTAATTCTGTATATTTTGGTGGAGCATTACTACTGTACAATTCCAAATGACAGCGTAGGCAGATCAAGAAATGTAGGCATTCTAAGGACCAGCTTTTGGAGCTTTCTTCAAAAAGTCAGGAAAATGCATATCATAATGTCTGAGTAACAACCCACTGCTTAAGAATCATGACCCACCATTGCGCCTGCGCATGGCGCCGGGTTCAGGCTTCAGCGCCAGAGCACTTGCTTGCGCATAACTGGGGCCAACTGCTCCCCACCGGCGGCCCTTCAAGCAAGAGCAACAGGGCAGAGGAAACAAAAGAATCATGAACAAAACTTTTGGTTCAATTCTCTTCCTAGATGCTTTCAAGATATATATTTAAGTGCATGAAAACTCTAAGACCCTCAGGATTCCTGATTTACCAAATATCACAAATCCAGAGGTTAGAAGAATTGAAATCTATCCTTAAATATTTCCATTATTATGAAGTTGTGAATTATAATGGTTGTGCCTTTAAATATTTATTTGTGTGCTTTAGTCGTAGAGTGATTTTAAATACTATCATTTTACAATTCAATAACTATGATTCTTCACCATAATCAAAGTGGTATGAAAATAACCAGATACAGCCCCCGCAGGTTGGTTGAGCATAGTTCCATGTACCAACAGGTCACCGGTTCTATTCCCAGTCTGGGAACATGCCCAGGTTGTGGGCTTGAACCCCAATAAGGAGTGTGCAGGAAGCTGATTGAAGTTTCTCTCTCACATCAATGTTTCTCTCCCTCTCTCTTCCTCTTTCCCTAAATCAATAAAAACACTTTAAAAAATAGATACACTATGCATAGTTTGCTGTTATTTGCCCTCTATCATGGTTTGCTTATAATAGATGTCCTTGCAATGAAACAACTAACTATAAACTAGCTAATGAATATTTTAAATGATTTTAGATTAGCCTAGATCAATTTAATATCAAAAATATATTTAATAGCAGCTATTAAAATTTATAAGCAATGTAAAAATATGAATTACCTTTCCCAACTCTGTCTTCTGCTAACCCAAGGACAATCCATCACCATACTGGGGCTACATGTCTGAGTACGGGCCTTGCAAGTAGCACCCCCACCAAGTTCCCTTGGCCCCATGAGTAGGACAGATCATCTAAAATAAAACCAGTGTCATGCAATGCCATTGAAAAGAAAGTTTTAAAGAGAATTGTCATTTGGGAAGGGGCTCCCTAGTGCCTACAAAATAAATGCCCCAAATTCTTAGTCTGGTCTTAAGATTATACCCCAGTTGACCTTTCCAGACTTAGCTACTCCTATCCCTATAAGAATGTACCCTTGAAGCTAGACAGCTTGCTCTTTATTGGGTATGCTTCATGTGCAAAGCCCTCTAAACTGTTGTGCATGCTAGCAGCTGGTCTCCTATTAAAATCAGGGGTTTGAATGTGATTGAGCTTGGCACAAATTCAGTGATACATAAGATAGCTTAGAAATGAGAGGATTTAGGTAACTACATGGACCAGCTCCATAATACCTATAAAGGTATTGTTTTTTATTGTTGACAATCCTATGAAGGTATTTTAAATGCTCATGAGAGTCATTTTACTCAAGAAGGATTGGGAAAAATAGAAGGCTGGGACTAGATATATCTATTGGGTCAAACAACTTCTCTATAAAAACAACAACAGGTATTCATGGATTGTATGATATGTGAATAATATTTCACTAAAACTGTCACCAAAAACAAAAACAGGTGGTGGCTAGCATATCCAGGCACAAATTTTCAAAGACTAATGGGCCATTAAGGAATGGGAGTAGAAAATATTGTTTGGCTGCTATCCCTCCATGACCAAGTCTTTAAGAAAAGCACGAGTTGGCCCCCAGGCTTGTGAACTGATGCTCAGATGGGCCCTCAGGATTAGGACAGGCAACTGTCAGATGCTCGGCGGCCGGCTGACCTTAGCTAGGGCGTCACTGACAACACCGAGATCATGCTGCAGCTCATTCATGACGCTGGTTAGGCTCTTGGTGTCTTTCAAGATCTGAATACTTTGTGTATACGGATTATACTTCACTCCAAATGGGCGCTTAATTGTTTCAGTAAATTCTCTATTTAAGAACACAAATAAAAGGCAATTAATTTCTAGGGGAGAAACAGTGAAAACTAAATAACAGCAAACCTATTTCACACACTAGGCAAAAGACAAATCTAGACATTCATGCAACCAATCTGACCTACTTCCGTACGCTGCCTGTGCAGAGGCACCCTTAATCCCACCCACGGAGAAAACCTTAAGTCATCAGGGACACAGCTACCCTGCGTTACTAGGGAAAGATCCTGTGGATGGCTTCACTAACAATGTATTACTTTACACATCTCTTAACCAGTGTAAGGAGACCATCGACAGTAGCTTTATCTGTAAACAATAACACTGGCCACATAGTAAGTCCACTCAATTATACTAAATTCTACCCTTTCTTCCAACGTGAAAGCTCTGCTTTCTTTATCAAGCCAAAATTTGAACCTCTTGTTTGGCACTCCCAGGAACAATCATGCTCAGATCCCTAGGGATACTTGTACAGCTCAGAACAATTATACACGAGTGGAAGATGAAGTCCAGTTTGCAATCCACCTGGTCTACCCAGAGGGCACCCCTCTTCTAGTTGTGCAAAGGTGCCACCTGTGTTAGAGGAAGCCCTCTGTACATGGCTTCAATCCCCAACTATAAGGAAATCCCTAAAAGACAAGGAGCATGTCTTCAACCTCTATCTGTCTCCATTGTCACAATATGATTTCATGACCCCTTCCACCAAATTGTTTTGCTGTTTCTGCCTCTACAGTCCTTTCCTTCCCTACAACCTCTATCTTAGTTCAGGCATTTATTTCCACTTGAAGCATTGCAAGAATCTAAGCAGTTTCTCTGCCGGCAATATCATCTTTTCTTTCTTCCTTTTTTTTTTTTTTTTAACAACACACTTAGCTGGTTAATAGTTAAAGCATAGCTTTGATGTTTTTCTACCTTTTTGCCTTTTTTATAATGCTGCCCCGTAGCCTAAAACTTGACATATCTAAATCCTGTCTATTCTTCAGGTATTTTCTAAAATGCCATTAGCTTTCTCTCTTCCCCGAGCTGTAATGAATTGCTCCTGAATAAAAGGCAGAACAATGTTTCATACATATGACCTCTAAGGCTTTTCTTTGTCCTTATATATAATTTGTGTATAGTTTTTCCCCTACTAAATTATAAACTCTCTGATTGGAAGAAATGGGAAGAAACCAATTTCTTGATGTATCTGACTCATAATTTACAATTATCATTGTAAAGGACATACTCTAAATATTTGTTGCAAAAGGGAAGTGTTTATAAGCAGAAGGCTCCTAGTAGGCTTCTAATTATCCAGTTGCTGACTTCTGATTGGTTACTAATGGACCTATGTGTTGCAGGGGAAATGAAGGCATGAGGAAGATATACTCTACCTCATCTTCTCCTTTGCATCTTCAAAGCTTTCAGATACGAAGTAGACATCCTGAAAAGTTGTGATGAGACATTCCTGTTGACAGGTAATCTTGGGGTCAAAGGGCTTCACTTTGGCATGTCCAGAAAGTGCATGCTGGAAGACAAAGAGTTAGTGAATCAAAGAATACTATCTGTTTTCATATATCACATTCTACACACAACTGCCAGAATCAGCACACCTCTGGATGTATTACTAATGCAATGGTCCCAACCTACAATTTCACACTAATTTCCTACAGCCCTATTTAACCCACAATATTATCCAGCAAAACAAATGGCTTGCCATTCTCTATAAATGCCTCTCAGTGGTTCTCAACCTTCTGGCCCTTTAAATACAGTTCCTCATGTTGTGACGCAACCATAAAATTATTTTCGTTGCTACTTCATAACTGTAATGTTGCTACTGTTATGAATCGTAATGTAAATATCTGATATGCAGGATGGTCTTAGGCGACCCCTGTGAAAGGGTCGTTCAACCACCAAAGGGGTCTCGACCCACAGGTTGAGAACCGCTGCTCTAGATCATCTCCGTTGTTCTAACACTCTTCTCCATGAGGGAGACACCCAAGAATATTTATTTATTTCTGCATTACGTTACCTACTTTCTACCTGCACTAGTTATTCCTATGCCTGACTTGTACCCACCACCAGGTGGCAGGCTCCTTGAGAGCAAGACACTGCCTTGGATTTGTACCATACAAATTCATTTTTCAATAGCCTAAATTTATTCCTTTATTTACTAAATAACAAATTTCAAAGAACTCCCTAAAAATTACAGAAGTCCTTTCTAGCACATAAAATGGTGAGGAAACATCAAGACTTCGTAAGCAAAAGCTTTAAAATACTTTTTTTTAATTTTAAAGTTACACACACACACACACACACCAGAATATTTGGGAAATAGAAAAAAGTATCCCTTAAATAATGTTTACTGTCACCCTAAGTAATTTCCATACTAAGCTCTTGTTCAAATCCATGAACTATTTCAGGTCATATAAGTGACATTAAGTGAATATGGTGATGTGCAAAGATTTACAACTCTTACTTTGAGTTCACTGATAGAAGACAGTAAGCCAGCACCAAAAACTCTTAGCTGCCCATCTTGTTTACACAGACCAAACTCCACAGTGAAAAAGTAGCACTGCAAAAGGACAGAAATATTACTTTCACATCCTGAATGACTAAATTTAAAACAAATTATGACTCTTTGTCACTGTCCCAAAGTATCCTGGGATAAAGTTCAAAACCCCCAGACTAGCTTACAAGTATTTCTACAATCTGGCCTCATTCTAAACCAACACTTCTCAAACTTTTGTTCCCAAGATCCTATAGACTCTTCAACATTACCGAGGATGCCAAAGAATTGTTGTTTATATGGGTTATAGCTACCTATACTTAGCATATTAAAATTTAAAACTGAGAAAATATGTAAATGTTTCCTAATTAATTTTAAAATATAATAAACCATTTTATGGTAACATAAATAACATGTTATGCAGTGATAAGTTCCAGGAAGGCAGGAACCAGACCTTCCTCATATTTGTATTTGCAGCATGATGTCTTGTACCTAGTACTCAAAAATGTTTTTAGCATCATTTTTTGGAACCTATCATTGTTACTGGAAAAAGAAGATATAGAAACTATTAACATTATTGTGCTCTAATGTTTCTCTGTCTTTTTTTAAGCTCATGTCTTTTGATAGACCTTAAAATTTTACATCCTCCTTTAATGTTATTTAAATTAAATTAAAGATGGGCCAAGACACATTTTCTGATGGTCATGTTGAATATGCACTTTTAAACTATGCAAATACCCATATCCCACCCCAGTCAAGAATTACTGATCTCTACAGTCATTTCCAGTTTTATACCGTTGCCAGTTTTTGAACAGCCTCCTCTGAAGCTCCAAGGGATGCCAGGCCAATTTCTTGGGAGAATTGTGCAAAACTAGGTTCAGCCAAGAGGGGGACATGACCTAAAAGTTCATGGCAGGTATCTCTGAAAAAGAGGTACAAGTCTGTCAAACTGTGATGCTTACCATAAATGCATTCATCAATCATTCAATGAAATTAAAATCCGATCTTACTTTTATTCAAATTGATCAAAAGGTATTACTTTGGAAAAGGATCCCAAAGGACACTAATCAAATAAAAAAAACAGTTTTGCTTCAAAACCTTGGCCACTTGCAAACCCACATATGTAAGTACATACAGATAACCACAGACTCCACATACTCTTCTACCCCAAATCAGTTCTCTGCTCAAATGTTACCTTCCCTAAAAGGCCTTCACTGGCCACCCTTTTCAAAATAGCAATAACACACACACACACACACACACACACACACACACACACACAAATAGAAGCTCTATGAGGCAGGAATTTTTGCCTGATTTTTTTCCGTATTTAGACATTCGTACATCCTCTATGCTAAAAACAGCACCTGTCACCTAATAGGTTGTCAAACAACAACAACAATGGATAACATATATAAAGCATAGATCATGTATTATGTGCCAGGAACTATTCTATTTCACATGTGCTAATGTATTTCATCTTCACAACAGTCTCATGAGGTAGATATCAATATTACAAGCAGCTATCTGATGACTGAATGATGGAGAAGTACTTACGGCTCTGGGGTATACAGAGGATCTGAACTGTGTCTCACATACTGTGTGCAGTGGAAAACTCGAAAGGCTAAACCTGATAAGAAATCCCTTGATGATAAATAACCAGCCACAGGACGGATGGAAAAACCTGTGCGCTCTGCAAAGCAAGGGGGAAAACACAGAGACAGTCTTCACCAGCATATGCCACATACTGCCGCACTACAACTCGGCCAGTGGCACCAAGTTACACTGAGAGAGGACAGAAAACTAAAATGTATCCTACGTGGACTAGGGGAAATAATCATTACTAAGCACTTACCATGGCCAGACAATGAATTACACTTGCTACATATCACCTCCTTTCAGGTTTTCAGCATGAGTTAAAGTTCATTCTCCTCGTTGTAACAACTATAAAACTGGGGTTCCGCAACTCAGTAATGTGCCCAAGGCCACACAGTGGATGGTAAAGGTAGGAAGAGAACCCAGGTCTCCTTACTCTACACCTGTTGGCTCCCTAAAGAGTTTAGAATATCCCCTAGACAGAATCTATTAATTTAGATCAGAACCATTTCAGAATCTATGCCATTTTTTCGCCAGTACTGCCTCTTATAAAGTAGGCTCTTTATTTGATCAATACTGGATTGTGGTCTCCCATTCCCCAACAGCCAAGACTGCATATCCACTGCAAAAGTGCCTGCCCGGAGGCAGCCATGCCTCAGGGACCTCTACAAGCTCCGATTTGGCCGTCATCTCAAACCCTCACACTCTGGTATTCCAGCTACAACCAGTTGCTTTGTACTTGGATTCCCCCACTCTGACAGGCAGACTTCACGGTCCCATTGAACTTAACACAAGGATGGAAATGTTCTCCATCTAGGCTACCCAGTAGGGTAGCCACTGGCCATATGTGACTACTGAGCACTTGAAATGTGGCTAGTGTGCCTGGGGAACTACCATTTCCAATCCCCTTAAGATTCTGTGCACTCTCTTCTACATTGTCCCTCTTCTACACTGACACTCTGTTCTGATTGTGCCTCCTCAAATGTGGTGCCCCATGCAGGATCCAATACTCCAGGACAGAGTACAGGAAACTTCTCATCTCCCATATCACTGAACATTATTCCTCTATTAAAAATTTTCTCCCCTAGCTGGTTTGGCTCAGTGGATAGAGCATCAGCCTGTGGACTCAAGGGTTCCAGGTTCGATTCCAGCCAAGGGCATGTACCTTGGTTGCAGGCACATCCAGGTGGGGAGTGTGCAGGAGGCAGCTGATCGATGTTTCTCTCTCATTGATGTGTCTAACTCTGTATCCCTCTCCCTTACTCTCTGTGAGAAATTAATAAAATACATTTAAAAAAAATTTTTTTTTCTCATGCCCGGCCGGTGCAGCTCAGTGGTTGAGCATTGGCCCATGAACCAGGAGGTCACGGTTTGATTTCTGGTCAGGGCACAAGTCCAAGATTGTGTGCTTGATCCCCAGTAGGGGGCGTGCAAGAGGCAGCTGATGGATGATTTCCTCTCATCACTGATGTTTCTCTCTCTCCCTCCCTCTCCCTTCCACTCTTTAAAATCAATAAAAACATTTTTTAAAAATTCTCTCATTACCCACACAGAATTCAACATTCCCCTTAAGAAAAAATTTAATTAGCTTATTACCTTTTAAAAAGTTTGAAACATCTTCCAACTGTGGGATATTATCTTCCCGATATCCACAATACTTAGAAAGCAAAGGTAAATTTTGGAGATACTCTCTGCAGGCGTGGGTTGGGTAAAGCTTGTTGAGCTCTCGGAACACAGTTCCCCAGGTCTTAATCTCCTCCTCAGTGAATTCAACTCTAGGAATGGGGTTGCCACTAGCGAGATAAAGAATTAGCATTCAATAAACAGTAGCACTTATTCTCTATTTACTAAATGAGCTTAATTTACTCTCTTCATTGATTTTATCATTTTAAAGTTGGATAAGTTATTCTTGTAATACACTTACTGTTTATAGTTCATAGCCAAGTCTGCAAAATACTTCCGCCTTTTACGGTAGACATGGTCTTTGAAGCCCTGGTAATTAAAGAAAAGGTTTTAAATATTCATACTAAAATAAACTTGACAAATGATATTTGGGAAACATTTTCATTATTATCTGAGCTATTATATTAAAGAGTTACATAATGGTTATTTTGAGCAAGCATTATTTAGAATTTTATGATTATTTTTATTTTAAAGTCAATGCTACATGACAGCTTTATACCATAGTGGCTACAAAGGTGAAAGATACTACAGATACAGCCCTGGCTGATGTGGCTCAGGGGTTAGAATGCCTATCCATGCACCTAAGGGTCTCGAGTTCCATTCCTGGTCAGGGTGAACACGCAGGTTGGGGGTCCAATCACAGTCTGGGTGCATACAGGAGGCAATGGGTGGATGCTTCTCTCTCTCATTCATGTTTCTCCCCCTCCCTTTTGCCCTCTGCCTTTTTTCCCCCTTTCCCTCTCCCTTCCTCCCTCAATCTCTCTCTCTCTCTCTCATCAATGAAAAAAAAAACACACATCCTCCCATGAGGATTGAAAAAAAAAAAGATACTATAGATACAAAGATACAAAAATACCATAGTGACTACAAAAATAAAATAGTTTGAAAAATAAAAGCACCATTTAATTAAATACAGGCTTTATCCCAAGGATAAGATATTTTTTCTTAATCACACAACTGATCTCTTTAGCTAGAGATGTTTGCTGTCTTGTGTATATCTTAAAGCTATTTAGCACACTTTTCACATTTGTTCATGCTACTTAGCACACTTTCCACATTTCAATCTCATATATGTTTATTTGTATGTGTGCTTTATCTTTTCAACTGGACTGTAAACCACCTGGCAGTTATGACATTTATAAATTCCAATAGTTATTCAATAAGATACTATAGAATAAATGGATGGACTGACTGGGGGCTAAGGCAGTACGCAGGCACAGTCACAGAGCTAACAAGTGTAGAAGCTAGATTAAAGCCCTGGTCTACGAGACTTCACAACTGCAGTCTCTCCCTCCCCTCCCAGGATCTTAGAGTTCCATACGCAATCCTAACACTCTGGTTTATTAATTCTCCAACTCGTGCCTGTACTGTACCCCCTTGTAATTTCCCAAGGAAATAATGTCCTATTTCATCAACTGCCTAATAATCCAATTATGCTGGGCAGCGTGGGTGATACGTTTTTCCATCCTGTCTTTGCTCCACTTTCCGATAACCCATGCCCATTTTAATAAAAACTGACTGCAGCTCGTGTCTTTATTTTGGAATAACTCTTTGAATAGCTCTTAATACTGGGAATGTCAGGCATTGAACAGAGGCTTTGGAGCCAACAAGTCGGATGCTCTTCAGGCAGTTGGTCTCAATTCCACCAACAGGGGGCTCTACTAAACTCCCTGAAATCCCAATTGAAACAAGATGCTGTTTAATCTAGAATAAGCGCTTTCTCCAAAAATGAAAATGTTGCTCTTGAGTTTTAGTTTGCTTTAAATTATTGTCATGAAATTTTTTTTATTTATTAAAAATACTTACAGGATGGTCTGCATCCAGTTCAGATCCATACATCAGAACTCTGTTGGCACAGTGGTCCAGGTCAGAAATCTTCTTTGGAAACCAAGGAACCATTTCTATACCTGCAAAATATAAACACCACCAACACCTAAAGAGACCATCTGAAGGCACTAAGGAAGAAGAAATTAAGAAAGTCACACATTTAGATAAGATTTGTAATTTTTGCTTGTACATTGAGGCAAAATTTGTACAAGTAAACTTCTCTATTTTTAATAAGTATTCAAATTATTTTAGCTTAAAATTTATAAGGCTTGATTTCCTAAATGTTGAAAAAATGCTATACTTTGCTGATAGACCAAAAGTTCAACAACAACAAACAACATTTTTTAAGCTACATATTTGACCACCATAAAAAGGCAGAATCTTGCCCTGACTGGTTTGGCTCGGTGGATAGAGCATTGGCCTGTGGACTAGAGGGTCCCCGGTTCAATTCCAGTCAAGGGCATGTACCTTGGTTGTGGGCACATCCCCAGTAGGAGGTGTGCAGGAGGCAGTTGATTGATGTTTCTCTCCCATCGATGTTTCTAACTCTCTATCCCTCTCCCTTCCTCCCTGTAAAAAATCAATAAAATACATATTTTTTTAAAAAAAAAAAAAGGCAGAACAAGGGGTAAATTTAATAAGAAATGTGAATGTTTATTTTTGTTGATGAAAAGGATCTTAGAGGTCATTTATGCCTTTGCCACATTGAAACTCTCACCATCCCCCAGAATTTCTGAGTTTTGCTTATGCTGTTCTTCTGCCTGAAACACCTAACCCCCTCCCACTTCCTGCTCCACCCGATCCTCCTGTTCTCCTGAGACTATCCTCCTCTGTCCAAATCAAAGGAGCGGTCCCTGACCCTGGAGGTGGAGCTAATCCTCTGTCATCTGGGTTCCCGTGGCACACTGTTTCTAATTCTCTAGAAGCTTTCTTTATGTTTTAGTATAATGTATCTGTAACATGTCTGTCTTACAGGAAAAAATGGGAACACTCTAGGGTAGGGACTATCTATTTTTGTATCCTCGTTTCTTAATAGAAATATTGGACACAAATTGGTACTCCCTTAATATCACCTGAACCAGTTAGCCTCTATAAAACTCATAATTTTATAGAAAAGGTCATCAAAGTCCAGAAAGGTAAAGTAAGTTACCAAGGGAACTCATCCCTCTCTGAGAGAGGAGAGAGGACTAGAACTGGATCCTTCTTCCTTCAGTTGAATGCTCTTTCTAACATACCCAGACGTGATAGTCAAGAGCTTTAACAATAAATACAACAGGGGCACCAATCACATCCCTCAAAAGAGACACAAGCAGAGGGCTAGGCTCCTGCTCTGCCAGGTGTCACCCTGTCTCCGTGGCAGGCAGGGGAGTCCTAGGGGAGCATCTGGAGCAACAGGTGGGAAGCACTCAAAGGACTCAGGGAAGCAGCTACCTGACAGCCAAAATGAAAGTATTTCAGCGTTTTGGTAATTTACACCACCATACGAATACAGAATTGGAGGTCTGTGAACTCAAGATGATTTGGAAACTGAGACAACTTAACAGATTTCTAACTATCCCGAATTCTATCATATATTTAAGGTTTCCTTTTTCACTTCTCTCATACTTGATAAAATGTTGTCTTATCATTTTTATTTAGAATTTTGAGCAATTCTATTTTGTTCCCTTCGCTACCAGACTATAAGCAATTTAAAGAGACAGTGTTTTGTTTTTACATTCATTCTTTAAGATAAATATAGGATTGGACAGAGACGGACTGAAAAAAGTGAAGGGATTAAGAAGTACAAAGTGGTAGTTACAAAATAGTCATGAGGACATAAGGTACAGCATAGGGAATACAGTTAATAATCTATAATAATAAAAGGGTAATATGCAAATAGACTGAACAGCCATCCAGACGTCCTTCTGGACAACCTTCCAGACGACCTTCCTGACGAAGCCAGGGCTGCAGCTGTGGGATCGAGGCAGCCGTGGCTGCGAAGGCCTACTCTTGCATGAATTTCGTGCAACAGGCCTCTAGTATTGTAATAACTATGTATGATGCCAGGAGGATACTGTAAATATCGGGGGTGGGGAGGGACACTTTATCAAGTATATGATTGTCTAACCACTATGCTATATACTTGAAAGTAATGCAAAATAATATTGACTGTCAACTGTAATTGAAAAATAAAACATTTTAAGTGAATAAATAAATAAAAATCACACATTTTAAAAAAAGATAGGACACATATTATGTACTTAATCTTCAGAGCAGTATTTTCACTTTTCAAACGTACCATCCTCCTTCATGGCAAAATTATCAGGTGGATTCACACAGAGAACATTAGTATTAGACTTCAACAGATGAAAAATATCACTCAATTGTTCTCTGTTGATATCACAGTCAACAAAAATCTCAAATTCCGAGTTTCTTCTCTTGGATTTTCGGGACTCGATGTGCAACAGGTTCACACGCTTCTCCTGGGGAAAGCAGAAGGTGAAGCTTAGGTAGGACCTCAAATGGTGACGGTCTTGGAGCAGATTGCTTTCATTACCGCTAGAAACCAAGTCACACTTGCCACAATAGCCAAAGGGAGAAAAGGCTGTTTTTAGTGATGGCAATCACAAAATAATTCCCCCTAAATATTAGGTACTATTCAAAAAAGTTTGAGAAATTCGTCACATCCTCCCGAAACTAATAATACTCATCAGAAGTGCTTGGATTGCCAGAATGGATTATCCTTCAAAGGGAAATACCAAGTCTCTTATATAAAAAGAAGCTTTTGAAAATTTTCACCAATAAGGCCAGTTTCAAACAGTGATGCTAATGTTAGACCTTTAGAAAAGTTTCCTTTGCAAAATTGCATCCAATAAAATTAGATGAACAGCTTGAACACAGAGTATTTAATACCTCAAATCTCTTAAGCTACAAACTTAGTAACCAGCTAAACCAGATTGCTTCTTCTGGTCTCTTCATGACACTCTGAGCTGAGGGTGCCATATGTGCAAACCGTGGGAAGAAGGGGTCTTCTCTTGCCAATCTGGGTAGCTGAGGGAAAGCACTGGTGACATAATGAAACGTAAGAACCAGGCACCCAACAGATTTTCATCTAAAATATGAGAAAGTTGGAGTAGTTGATCTGCAATAGTAACCACTTCAATCTAAATTAACTTAGTGACAACCTATGTAGCCAGATAAGGGCTGTGAAGCATACAATGAAGGGTAAGACACACAAGGAATTTATGCCTCGTTGTCTAACACACAAAAGACTAAGAAAAAATACAAGTGGTGAGTGTTCAGGTGCAAGAAATGTTCGGCAAAGGGACAAAGCCTCACGGGTTATAGAGAGTAGAAGTTTCCATGAGCAGATAGAAATGAACATGAGTCTTAAAGAACAGATAGACTTGGAAGGCAGAGGGAAGAAGGAGGATTCCAAACAGGAGAACCATACGAGCAACGGTAGAGATGAAATGAGAGTTACCAGGGAATATGAACCAAAAGGAAAGAGTGAGTGTAAGGGATGTTGGAAAACTAAAATAGGCAGGGTTCATCCTGGAACATGGAATTGATCATGGAATCAACAGAAGAAAGCCAGTTACAAAATATACTGGCATGATTAGGAGTAAAGAGTTTTATTGAATATATTTCTTATGGATTTTTTACAATAAGAATATATTCTTAAATACTTTCTGAATGATAACTTGAATGAACATAAAGCTAAACTATGTTTTGTTTTGTTTTAAATCCTCACCCGGGGATATTTCTCCATTGATTTTTAGAGAGAGTGGAAGAGAGAGGAAAAGAACAATTAATGCCCTAGCCAGTTTGCTCAGTGGCTAGAGCGTCTGTCTACAGACTAAAGGATCCCAGATTCTATTCCAGTCAAGGGCATATGCCCGGGTTGTGGGCTTGATCCCCAGTGAGGGGGGGGGTGGGGGGTGCAGGAGGCAGCCAATAAATGATTCTCTCTCATCATTGATGCATCTGTCTCTTCCTTACTCTCTGAAATCAATAAAAGTATATTTTTTAAAAAGAACAATTAAGAAGTTGCCTCTGGGGAGCGGGACGGAGGATATAATATGTTGGGTTTTAAACAATGCTTTTCAAACTCTTCTAGACTATTTGTCTATCTCTTACATTTTTAATTTTTTAAAATATTATTTCAAATGGCTACATAACAGTACATCATGTGAATATAAACTTCATTTTTAAAATAGCGAACATTTGCCTGGCCGGTATGGCTCAGTGGCTGAGCGTCAAACTATGAACCAGGAGGTTATGATTCAATTCCTGGTCAGGGCACATGCCCAGGTTCCAGGCTTGATCCCCAGTAGGGGGCATTCAGGAGGCAGCCGATCAAAGATTCTCTCTCATCATTGATGTTTCTATCTCTCTCCCTCTCCCTTCCTCTCTGAAATCAATAAAAATATGTTTAAAATAGCTAACATTTACTAATAAAGTACTTTGAACCATCCTAAGCATTTACATATATTAACTCTATTGATTCTCACGATGATCCTATGAGGTAGGTAGGGTTCTCATTTTATAGATGTAAAGACTGAAGCACAGAGAGGCTAATAAATTTTCCCATGATCACTCAGCTAATAAGTGACAAAGCAAGAATTTGAACTCAGGTGGTCCACCTCCAGAGCCTACAAGCTTAACCCCAAAGAGAATACATATTGTGAGGGCAGGCACTGGGTCTACTTTATTCAGGCTCACATCCTTCAGGCACCTGGCACATAGTAAGTACTTAATAAATATTCATGGTCTGCCTCACTGACCCCTATTTCCTTAACATAGATTTATGGAAGTGGAATTTCTGGGTCAAAAATGTGAACATTATGGGGGGGGGGGGAGGAGTTAGGCCTGGGTAAAGGTGGGGAAAGGAGAGGAATGAAGACATATGTAATAATGTTAACAATAAAAATAAATCCAAAAATAAACAAATTAATAAGTAGAAAAGAAAATGTGAATATTCAAGGCTCACAATATTACCAGATTGTTTCCCTACACATTACACTGATTTGCCCTCACACCAAAGGTGTATTTAAGGGCCAAATGCATTGAAGCTTTAACAATAGGAAACAGTATAACTGTAAAAATCTTTGCTATTTTGCTATATAAAAATGTCATTAACTGTATTATTAATACACCATTAAATAATATCATTAAAATTTTAATATTTTAAAATTAAAATGTGCTTCTCCAAAATCTAGAAGTAAATCTTTCTTCCCCCATTTAAAAAATATATATTTTTATTGATTTCAGAGAGGAAAGGAGAGGGAAAGATAGAAACATCAAAGATGAAAGAGAATCATTGATTGGCTGCCTCCTGCATGCCCCACACTGGGGATCAAGCCCACGACCAGGGCATGTGCCATTGACCGGAATTGAGCCCGGGACCCTTCAGTTCGCAGTTTGATGCTCTATCCACTGAGCCAAACCTGCTAGGGCTCTCCCCCCACTTTTTTTATTAGCTATTTGTACCTCCTCTTAAATGGTTTTTATCCCTTGCCCATTTGTTAGAATTGAGCAATAGTTTAGAAATTTAAGTGCTTAAGAAATTTCTGGGAGAGCAACTAAGATGGCGGCATAGGTAAACACCGGGAAATTATTGCCTCACACAACAATTGAAAATTACCCCAAAGGACTGAGCAAACATCATCCAGAACAACAGGAAGGCTGGCTGAGTGTAAATTCCACAACTAGAAGGAAAGAAAAGCACGCTGAGAGCCAGAGGCGCTGCGGAGGTGAAGTGCAGAGGTACGGCGGCGCGCGCGCGAGGAAAGGGGGTGGCGCCTGAGGACGCGGCTGTCTTTTTGAATCACAAACTCCCGACGGCTCTGAACTCCGGTTCCGGGAAGTCTCTGGGGACCCAGGTCTCACACGGGGAGAAGCTGGTCTGTCCGGCAGCGAGCGAACTTGAGGGCGGCTTTCCCTCAGAGGTGCTTGCAGCCGTTACCGGAACACTGAGACGCGCGACTCCGGGCGGAGAATCGGCCATGGCCGCTTTCTCCGCCCTCTGACTCCCTGAGACCCCGCCCCACCCAGGCTGCCGCAGAGGCTTTTGCATGTGAATGTACCTAACTGCAGCCGAACCAGGCAGACCCTGAACTTCCAAGAGAAGGCCCAAGGCCCCGCAGCGGCTTGCATTGCTTCACAGCTGAGCCTCTTCGTGGCTCCTGCTGTGTGGCCTCAGGCAGAGGCTGAATTAGCACCTCCTTAGATCCAGGAGCCACTGTACCCAGTGGTCAGAGGGGGTCCATCCAGACTGCAACTCCTCAGATCCATAAGGGACGCACTCAGGGAGCAGACTCAGTGAGCACCAAAGCCCCACTGAAGCAAGTCTTGCCCCAGAAGGGTGTCTTCAGCACAGAAGTTCTCCCACTTTAGACACAGCTGATTCTCACAGCCAATTGGCCTGGAGGTCAATTCCTCCCAGTGATCCTACAACAACCAAGGCACCAAGAGTGCACCAAGAGTGTCCACCCCAGGTAACTGGGGAGGCTGAGCTACTGGGCCCTACAGGACACCTGGCGCACAGGGCCACTCTATCAACACAGGGAAGCTGCCAAAATGCGGAGACAAAGAAACAGGTCACAAATGGCAGAAATGGAGGAAAGCAAACGATTGGATATAGAGTTTAAGGCCACGGTTATAAGGTTTTTCAAGAATTTTATGGAAACCGCCGATAAATTTAATGAATCCCTCAATAAGTATAGGGAGACCATGGAGGACATGAAAAAGGACCAACTAGAAATTAAGCATACACTGACTGAAATAAAGAATAATTTACAGAGATCCAGCAGCAGACAAGAGGATCCCAAGAATCAAGTCAAAGATTTGAAATACAAAGAAACAAAAAATACCCAACCGAAAAAGAAAAAAGAAAAGAGATTCCAAAAATATGAAGATAGTGTAAGGAACCTCTGGGACAACTTCAAGCGTACCAACATCAGAATTATAGGGGTACCAGAAGGAGAGAGAGGGCAAGATATTGAAAACCTTTTTGAAGAAATAATGACAGAAAACTTCCCCTACCTGGTGAAAGAAATGGACTTACAAGTCCAGGAAGCGCAGAGAACCCCAAACAAAAGGAATCCAAGGAGGACCACACCAAGACACATCATAATTAAAATGCCAAGAGCAAAAGATAAAGAGAGAATCTTAAAAGCAGCAAGAGAAAGACAGTCAGTTACCTACAAGGGAGTACCCATACGACTGTCAGCTGATTTCTCAACAGAAACCATGCAGGCCAGAAGAGACTGGCAAGAAATATTCAAAGTGATGAATAGCAAGAACCTGCAACCAAGATTACTTTATCCAGCAAAGCTATCATTCAGAATAGAAGGTCAGATAAAGAGCTTCACGGATAAGAAAAAGCTAAAGGAGTTCATCACCACCAAACCAGCATTATATGAAATGCTGAAAGGTATTCTTTAAGAAGAGGAAGAAGAAAAAGGAACTCTTACCATTTGCCACAGCATGGATGGAACTTGAGAGCGGATAAATTACCACAGGATCTCACTCATTTGTGGAATATAATGAACAACATAAGCTGATGAACAAGGACTGATCCAGAGACGGAGAGGCATTGATTGGACTGTCGGGACTTGGAGGGAAGGTAGGGGAGGGTGGGGGTAAGGGGGAAAGATCAACCAAAGGACTTATATGCAAGCATATAGGCCTAACCAATGGACATGGACAACGGGGGGGTGAGGGCATGAGCGGGGGTGGGGGGGTGGGGGGTAGAGGGTAACGTGGGGACAAGGACACATATGTAATATCTTAATCAATAAAAAATATATTAAAAAAAAAAAGAAATTTCTGTAGTCCAACTCTGAAGAATTTACTAATATTCTGCATTTTAAGTATAATTTTAGAGACTCGTTTTAGAGAGTTTTATGTAAGATATGGAGAGTGCTTACCTGGAAGATTTTCAGTGCTTGTATAAGTCCTCCAATTTCATTCTTTAAGGAAAAAATGAGAGTTGCTCTTCCTTTCTCTGAAGAATGGTCTTTGTTTTCCTTATTGTCTTCAATCATGATGAATTTGGTATAGTTCTCTAAAAATAAAGTATGAAAATACAGGAAAAGGTCTAAAAAAGTGCAATGTAGACAATATTTGATAACTTTTGAAACAGTGAAAATATTTGATAAGTTAACCAAGCTTTAGTTTCCTTACCTGTAAAACATGGATATGCTTATATATTTTGTAACACTACAATGAGGCCAAAATAAGATAAAACATTGTCAGACATAATCCGTAATAAGGCAGCAAGCTCCTTCAGAACAAGGACAAGGCCTTCTTTACTTTGTAAATTTATGAGCCTCCAAAGCTGTAGACACACGTAGACTAGAAGGATAACTGCTAGCTGAGAGAATTCTGGTTCCATATTAGCATCTCCTTTCCTCTCGGCCTATGGAATCCTAGGCCATGGGCCCTTAATGCCTTTTCAATCAATATTGGCCTTCAAGAGCTATATGATTGTAAATTCAACTGTGTGTGTGTGTGTGTGTGTGTGTGTGTGTGTGTGTGTGTGTGTGTTGGGGGCCATGAGGCTATTGTGGGAGACAGAAGTAGGGCACAATAACTTTGGACTGGTCAATTTCAACTGAGAAATACACACTTGAGAAATAAGGTTTGGGTTAATAAATGGAAACAGCATATTTAGAATTTATTCTTTTTTTAAAAATATATTTTATTGATTTTTTACAGAGAGGAAGGAAGAGGGATAGAGAGTTAGAAACAACGATGGGAGAGAAACATCGATCAGCTGCCTTCTGCACACCTCCTACTGGGGATGTGCCTGCAACCAAGGTACATGCCCTTGACTGGAATCAAACCTGGGACCTTTCAGTCCGCAGGCTGACGCTCTATCCACTGAGCCAAACCGGTTAGGGCTAGGATTTATTCTTAATAGTCTTAATTTGATTATTAATTCTTCCTAATTGCCCAATTTCATATTGCATTGGTAGCTCTGTTTCAGTGAGTATTTGTTTCTGTGTGCCTTTCCAACTAGACAGTGAGCTCCATGGGGGCAAAGATCACAAACGCTGTTACTCACCATGGTACCTCCAACATCTAGCTCAGTCCCTGCACAGAATAGGCACTGCATAGATGTCATTAAGTGAATAAAAGGAAAAAGATTTCTTAAAGACATGGTCTCTACCCTCAGGGAACTGAACGTCTGGTAGAGAGAGGGTGACAGTTCAGAAAGATAAGCATTGCAACTGGGAGCACAGATGGCATAGTGGTGGGAGTGAATCGATTATTTTGGTACATGTTCAGAGATGTTTCCTTGAAGAAGGTGTGTTTGAATTAGATCTTAAATAAAAGGGGGGAAGGAGTAGATAAAGATGAGACATGACCAACCAATAGAGAGCAGTGAGGAATCAGGTAGGCAAGGTAAGTGGGCCAGACCCTTTAAAAGGCCCTGTGTAGGTAGTGCAGGGGAGTTTCGTCTTGATCTTCTATGCCCATGCAAATACCCACCAAAGGACCGTGGCCCGTGTAATTGAAGGCTAAATGAGAAAAGTAAGGACAAGGTAGTTTTCTTAAGCTAAAGTCCTGGCTTTGAAACATCTTCCTATAGGACAGTGATGGCGAACCTATGACACACGTGTCGGCGGTGACACGCGAACTCATTTTTTTGGTTGATTTTTCTTTGTTAAATGGCATTTAAATATATAAAATAAATATCAAAAATATAAGTCTTTGTTTTACTATGGTTGCAAATATCAAAAAATTTCTATATCTGACACGGCACCAGGGTTAAGTTAGGGTTTTTCAAAATGCTGACACGCCGAGCTCAAAAGGTTCGCCATCACTGCTATAGGATGATGCAAATGAAGGACTTTATGCATTTCTGTCTTTCTGACTAGACAGATCTTGTGATTTTTGTCTTTCTTTCATAAAGCTCTTCTCTTAACCCATACTGTATAAGATTTTGGGGCCACTTATAAAAGGCAGCCCCAAGAGATCCATCTGGCTTGACAGAGGGTACAAAGTACCAAATATGGCTTTCAACGATATGGTCGTGAACAATAGTCTGCTACTAAACCAATGGAATACAGTTTTCTGTTCCAGAATTCAGTCTTTATGATACCTTTGGAACTTAGTTTAACAAATATTTATCAGGCACATACTAAGTTGAAGGATTTCTACATATAAGTTCAAAGAGTATGGAGATAAGAAAGAAAGAAATTCCTGTGATAGCAGCTTCCATCCGTTCTTAGCAATCCCAGAGGTGGGTGAAGGAACTGACATTTGTCAAATGTCTATACATATCATGTATTAATATTATCCCATCTAATTCTCATAAAATCGTAATGGAAGGGATAGGAATCATACCAATTTTATCAATGAGAAAAGTAAAGCTTAGAGAAATTAACCTGTTGGTGCACAGCTAGCAAATGTGAGAACACATATTTAAAACTGTGTCCTTGAACATGTGAATGTCAACATTTGGATCTGATTTCACAGGGACTGCCCTAAATATGTTCAGAAACACAGAAAGTAGGACAAAATTCATGGCATCTAGCTAAAACCTGTTTTCTCAGAAGATGGACTAGATATCTACTTTGTCATCTTCTCAACCACCTATTCACACCACAAAACAGTGTAAGGAAATGTCTGGAAATTGAAATCAGACTTATCTAATCACTGGTCTGACGTTTATCAGTATGGTCTTGTCCTAAACTTTCTAATATATCAGTCAATTTATCTCTACAACTAAAACAATCTCTGTGTCAATGCTTAAAAACAAAATGACCAGTTAAACTTAATAGTAATAATAATGTGGGGTTTTCTATGACTCAAATAATTACTAATGGTAAAATAAATGAAATGTCAATTCATTCACATGTATAAAGTACCACAGTCAGTGTGTATGGTGGTAAAGATGAAAAACAAAGAAGACAATTTGCCTCCAAGGAATTCACAGACTTATGTATGAGGGAGGTGGAAGAGGTCTCTTTCTAGTAAGTACAAACAGTAAGAAGAAAATAGGACACACTAGATATCTGCAGAGCACACCTTATCCCCCTTTACCCCACCCTTGACCGATGTCCCATGAGATTCTAAAGATGATTGGAGATAGCGCTGGCCCATCACAAGTCTCTGATCAGAAAGGATTTATGGATGAGACGTAAGAGATCCAAATAGAAATTTTCAGCTTCAACGGACTCAACCATTTCTTAACATAAACTTAATTATACATAGGAAATTCTGATTTGGTGCTCTGAGGCTAACAATTGAGGGGTGGTCTCAGATATGCAGTCTCAGACTGTTTTTAGAAATGTAAGAAGCTTTGGAAACATTTCTTGTTTAACAATCACTCAAAGACCATGGACTTTTTTTTTTTTTCCACACGGAGTATGGGTGACTGTCCTATAGCATGCAAACAATAAAAGGGATGTAAAATAATAGAGCAGATTGCTAGTAATAAATCTATCTGCAACTCCATCTAGGCAAGCTATAATTTCAACGTGCATGAATTTCCTTATTTGCAAAATTGAAAGGATAATTAGCACCAATCTCAAGGCAATAAAAGGATCATATATAAAACCCTTAGAACAGTTGCTGACCTACACTAAGTACTCAATTAATATTAACTCTAGTAAATCCCAAACTTCCCAGGCTTCAAAAAAATGTAATTAAAATGGCGCTTTAAACAACTCTGGCTAAGACTTTTTCTTACCCTTGGTATATGTCTCATAGCAGCAAGCACATGGGAAGGTTGTTTTATAAAATGTAAGTATTCTTGGGCAATCTTACCTCCGACTCACGCTGGCCCAGCGCTCCCAAATCCACGAAGGTATCCCTGGTCCCGTTAGGATGGAGCCACCCTGCTCCACTGTAGCGCTGCTAGAGGTAAACTGTGTTGGTCCTCGGGCTGCACTGCCCGCTTTTTATAGAAGCTGGCGTCTGAGCGGGCCTGTGGACGCTCGAGACAGCTGGGCAGTGGCCAATGAGAAGAAGGGAGCTCGCCTGCTGGTGGGGAAGAGGAGCTGGGAGGCGGAGAGAGTGTGGGCAAAGAGTCCTGACCATCTGCGCCAGCCTGTGTCTGAGACTTGCAAGCCTTACTTAGCCTTTAGGTGTTTCTGACTGGCGTTTTTATTACGCTGTTAATTAGGCCATCCTGAAATACAGAAGTCTGACTAATATCTAGAGTTGGAAATTTCCCTCCAAACCAAGATCACACCTGATAACAGCATGATGACTCCTATAGACTTGTACTGCTTCTCCAGTTGGCGACTAAAGCAAGAACACCCCACCCTCTTTTTCTTCTGTGCTTCTAGGTTATTTGAGAGTCCAGACCTGCCTCATCATCATTCTTTTGGTGGCTTCCCTTGTTCCTTGAAGCAGAGCAATCCTTGAACTTTTTAGAAGGAAAGTGCTCCGTATCCTTCCCATTAGAGACATTTTAAAGCTGCAAGCAGATGAGCATGCTATATTAGCAGAAAATCATGTTACATGCTATATGAACAAAACGGCCCAGAAACCAAACATTTGGACTGGTTATTTACTGATTGAGTGCTCAGTCCATTAGATTCTGCCACAAAGAGCAATATATGCAACACATTATACTGTAGGACATTTTTTTTCAATTTCTTAAACGTCAATTTGTTGATGTATAACTTACAGTAAAATTCGCCCTTCTGAGATGTACATACAGTTCTGTGAGTTTTGACCAACATATTACAGTTGTGTAACCACCAATCAGAACACAGAACATTTCCATCACCTCAAAACAGTTCCCCATCCCAATCTTCTGCCCAAATACAGCCCCTAGGAACCACCGATGCCATTTATGTCCCTCTAGTGTGGTCTTTTCCAGGCTGTCACATAATGGAATTATACGGTATGTATAGGTTTTTGGCTCAAACACTTAACATAATGCTCTTGAACTTCATCCATTTTGTTGCATGTATCAATAATTTGTTGCTTTTCATTGCTGAGTATGATGTACTTTATTTTTTATTTATTGATTTGAGAGAGAAAAACATCAATTTGTTATTCCACTTATTTATGTATTCATTGG